CAGGTATTGAGTATTTACAAGAGAGTCGGTTGTCTTTTGGTATCATTTCGGTAGCGCTGTAACCGAAATTCCATTAGAAATGTTCTTCTCAGCGTTCACTATATTTTATTCATCGTGACATGTTATTCAGCTTGGTGAATTTTCTGAACTGATTAGTTGCAACAGATTTATGATCATGAATTGATATCAGTTAGAGAGTCAGTGGGAGCCAAGGGACACTGGACATATATTTCATCCTAGTTTGGAAATCGTAAAGAATTTTTGTTAAACATTCAGTTCACAATTTTGATTTAAAACTATACGGTTTTTAATCTGGACATTGTTTTGAAATTCAGCAAGTATGAATTAATGTGAATTTGCTGAAGAAAACGCATTTGAAGAACACAAGGAAGCATTTACCAAAGGTGTTTTGAATAAGAAAATCATAAATGTAAGAGGACTGAACAATTTCACTCGTTTAACCGATAAATTTATGGCAGATAAAAGAACGTAAATGCCTTGAAATCTTTGTGAATGAAAAAATTAGCAGTATCCAATATCTAATTCTGATCTAATTAGAAAGCCAAAACCATCAAAAAAAGTATACAGTTTCCTTTGAACTATCACTGAAACTACTTACTGGAGTTATCTCTAGTACAGAAACATTTTCCTGTTTACCAGAGTTCTGGTTTCAGTGTGCTGTGTTCAATCCCTTTACATTAGACATTTTGCTTCTTGACTCATGCCTTCATCGGATTTATGTAAGAGTCAAACTTAAACACTACGGTAGAGTTTGGTTTCATATAAAATTGTTTATTCGTAATGGCCTGCGGTGACACAGTAATATTCATATAAAACTTCTGCTTCTAACGTCATCCAGTAAATAAAACTGTATTACTGTATGCCATATAAAAAACAAGCTAATATGGAATTCACTGAATTTGCTTAATTGATTTCTCAATCTAAATTCCATAATTTTTGCTGTCCTGATCAGATTTTGTTTAAGCCTGCAGATTCATCAGACGGCATATAAACATGCAGCATCTGAACATATCGGTTTGGTTCTCATTTTTTAAGCTTCCATTTCATCATGCCTACACTTGTTTACTTATCCACCAGATGACTTGTCGTCGATAAGCATCCGAATGTTAAATTGTAATTGTATCATTATTATTATTACTATTAGTCCCTTGGGTTCCTCATGAAACATTGGGCTTCAGAAGCACGTCTCCAGTGAACTCTGTTCTCTGAATTCTTTTGAACCTGGCTCCACGACAACCCACAAGCTCTCATTTCCTCCTCACACGACCTCCTCCATATCACCCTCCCCTCGGACACCCAACTTGTCGCTTCCCATGGGGATTCCACTCGAGGGCCTGACCCGTGATGTCCTCAGTCGGCCTTCTCAGTTTACGCCCAATAAAATCCATCTCCACTTCCTTCTGCATATTTGTTGAGTGATAGGTTCTTGGTGGTTCGTTCTCAGAGCTCCTTGTTGCTTATTCTTTCTGCCCATCTGATCTTAAGTAGTGAGCGTGAGCAGTTGTTCATGAGTGTGTGTAGTTTATTGGAAATGCCTTTCGTGACGCGCCAAGTCTCTGAGCCATACAGAAGCCCTGACTTGACGTTGGTGTTGAAAATCCGTATCTTGTTCCACATGTTGAGTGCAGAAGATCTCCACACTGGTTTCAGGCTAATGAACGCCTGTCTTGCTTTTCCGATTCCGATTCTGACTTTGACATCCTCATCTGTCCCACCTGTAGTTGAAACAGTGCTTCCTAGATAAGTGAAGGAGGTTACTTTCTTCAAGTTTCTCCCGTTGATAGTGACTGAAGTTTGTTGTCGTTGTTGTTGGAGTTGTTGGTGCCGTATCTTCATCACTTCTGTCTTCTCCATATTCACCTGAAGTCCCATCTTCTCTGCCTCTTCTGTCAACTTGTTAGTTTCCGCGTGTAGATCTTCAAGTTTGTGTGACATCAGACACAAGTCATAGTTAGCGAAATCCAGATCTTCTAGGTTCTTTTCCGCAGTCCAGCTAGCGTATCCCCCTCTTCCCGCTCCCCACTGTTTGCTGCATGATCCAGTCCACCACAATCAGGAATATCATGAGGGATGGTAGGCAACCTTGTTTCACTCTTGCCTTCACTTCAAAAGCATCACTGAGCTTCCCATTATGAATAACTTGGCATATGGCATCTTTATATAGTTGTTGAATGAGATTGATAAAGGCTTGTGGTATTCCGTAGTAGTGAAGCAGTTTCCAAATTACTTCTCGGTCGACGCTGTCAAGGTCCTAATTGTGATTCTAACTTAGTATAAAAATAATCTAAGTTCCAAATAGTTGATCAGTAAGCGACTAAATAAAATGAATTCTGTAAAGTATATTGTTCTTAATCTATTCAGACGTAAACGTGTTTTATGGGTGGGAATATAATCATGTCTACGTACGAAAACTATTCGTCGTGCATTTTGTAAACACAATATACTGATTCCGTTTTAAAAGCAAAGCCACAGGAAGAAAGATATGACCTAATAAAAAATGCAACTTTTGATGGCCAAAGTATGACGGTATAAAATTCCCAAAGACATCGATATCTATCTATGTGTTATGTGAATTTTGCGGTGCATGCTTACAATTTACTGTACTTTGAATGTGCTGAATATTTTCGTCATTATGCAACGAATCTGTCAAATTATCCGGATGATAACTCATAAAGTATAGTTAATTTAGCCTGTTGAGGTTAATTTGAATGCAAAAAACTAAAAGAAGCTTCTTACGCAAAAACTGGCTGAAAAACTACAGCACAGTGATAGTTTCTAACAGAGTTTTGTTAGTCTGCATCAGAAAGACAAATTTACGAATTAGACATCTCATATTTTCCGCCACTTTCAAAATGCAAAACGAATGATTCAGTGTGTAAAAATTTGGACTGAGAATTGTATGATTACTTTTATCCTGATTAGTACTGATGCCATATATTTAAAAAACTATACAGTAAGCGAAACGATGATACTGTTAGCCAAATTCGTTAGCTTATGCCCCAACACAATAATTTTCTTCTGCTGTTCACCAAGTGAACCAAATAAATCAAGTAAATTAACTGTTATCCATCAATAAGTTGTACTGTTGCTTTCGTATAGAAAGGTTTCAAAGTTGCCCAATAGCTTATTATTGCAAACATGAAGGTACCTTTCTTCTTATATTAGTTATCTGAAACGATGATGAACAATCTTTTAGCAATTAAAGTTCATAGTCAAAAGGAATATAACTCCTTCCCAATATTATTAAATGACTTCTTAGTTTTTTTACAAAACAGTTGTATATTCCTTGATACTAAGTGATTATTGAAGATGAGCTGAAAATCTAAGTTGTGGCGGGACACAAACAACTGACTTCTTTGTCACCATCGCGGTGTTCTTCTCACTAAAGTACAAGCTTCTCCAACCACAAAGAGTTCGCCTGACTGCCATGTAAATCCCTGATGCGTAATTGTCCGTCCATCGTAGACACACCACCTGCACAGCTATGTCAAATCATCTCAATCCAAATCGAGTTGTAATAGGTAGGGGAAGGCCACTAATTCAAATCCTGCCATGACTTGGGTTTTAATTTCACATTCATTCGTCATGCAGTATCTGTAATATGAGTCTATGAAACCACAGCTATCTCAGAAAGTCAGATGCATAATCAAACTTATCCTTCCCTCTCTAGTTCAACTCGATTTGGATTAGGATGAGTGAACCTGGCTATGGAGCCAGCAAGGTTATGATGAACGGAAAGTTATGCATCAGCGATTTGTATGGTATTCAGGCAAAACCTTAAGTAATTGAGGTGGAATTAGGTTTCGGTCAGCAGTTGGTTGTCGTAGCTCAATGGGTAGAGTATGAGACTAGTAACACTGCGTCTGTGGTTTGACTTCTGATACATCTTAGATTTTCATTTCACCTTCCATTGCCACTCAGTATCAATCAGATGAGTCTACTAAACCACAGCCATCTCAGGTATTCGACTTGATAAGCAGTATACTCTTTTAACTGTTATTCCAAATAAACTGATCGAAAGCGAGTGACCTTGAACTGATTTAAGCAGACAGTGTGACCTATCCCTAAACAGACTTTAACATCCATACCTTTTGGTCTGAATTAAGAAGCAGTTACAGCTTGCACAGTCACATGTACTAAGAATCTATTAAATTTCACCATAAATTTGGGAACTCTAGAATTTCTTCGACTTCATGGGTTATTTAGTTGTGAAGCAACAATTTTGAAACACTTGCATTCGAGACTTCTTTGAGAAAGTCAGTCATATTTGCTAACTGCATTGGAGGTGATTGAGGTTATTGGATAGATTAACTTGAGTGTTTTACGTTTTACGTTTGGAACAATGTTCTCTTGTTCCAGGACATCTTCCAACCGAATTTATTCAGTGAATTTTCAAGTCCCTGTAAATATCAAATTTTTAAAAGAGTTCCCGCAGTCTCCTGGTTTTATCTTCCCGTAATTGCATCATATGCGTAGTTTGCCATACATTATTGCAAATAATATTTTACAACTTTTCAGCATTCAAGAAGACACGAATATTTATGTTTTTTACCTATGAGATGATACCTTTGGTGAAATTCAGTTTCTTCTCCTTCGACCTTGGCCCTCTAATTAGCATAACAACGACGCTGACAACAAATGTTTTTGATTTAAACATAGTGATATCTTTCTCTTCTGATCATTATTGATCGAAAAAGACTTAGTGACCAATGAACTAAGAAGCAACTGCAGTCAGTAATCGTTCTATTTGTCATCTAGTACAAAGAATTCATTAGAGTACAAATGTAAAAATGTTATCCCTTCTTGTTAAATTGTAACCTAATTCATCGAAACCAACATTGAAGTAGTTATTAATGTAATTTTGACGTATCTGCAGTCAAATTCATTTAAAGAGCATCATAGAATAAACCATGAAATACGTTTCCTCATACGTATGCTGAGTAACCGTTTTCACTGGTGGAAATAAAAGGCGAACCTACCTGCAAAATCCTCTTTCCATGAAAATATTACCTTCAGTATTGCTTGCATGATGTCTGTTTTCCGATTCACCCAGCAGAGATCAAGCAGTCTGTCGTCCAACATGCAACTACATATTGTTTTTCCAAGTAGATCAATGCACAAGCATAAGTCTGGTCTAAGTATTGAAGGAGTACTAATGTATTTTTGGATCACATCATTTGAACGGTGAAAACTTTGTACTGCACAAACTCTATTGGTCATGGAATTAATCACTTTCAATTTGGTTTTTATTTCATACCTTCCGGCTATTAAAGTTCCATTTATAAACGTTCCTATCAATCGTTTTGTTGAAGAGTTTGATGACCAACATATTAAAAAATCTATGGCTGATTGATGAAGTTCAAAATCATAGGAAGCGTAAAGCGAAAACACTGGATTGAGTAGTGATTCTAAAAATGAAGGATTCAAACAGCCATCAGAATTACAAGATCTCTCTTCAAGGTAAAAAAAAAGCTGCTTATCAGGCTTGCATCTATTAATATATCTTAACCACTAGGCTTATTCTAGATTAAAACGGGCAAATTCGAGTTCTTGAAAGCGTACCTCACCTTTGATCCAGTTATTTACAGAACAGTGATCTGTAGGCTTCATTTCTTTCAGATCATTGTTTCAAAGCTTCACTGTCATCTACTAATATTCATGATTATCATATATTCCTGTTTTATACTCAGCCATCTCACGTGCTAAATTAGCAACTTCTTAAGAAACAGCTCGCCTAAATGTTAGCCAGCTGCTCGATAGGCATAAAGAGTATTCTGGAACTCCTTGAATTTCAGTCAAGAAGTTGTAATCCTGAGGCTTAGCAATTCATTTGTATTAATGCCTACATGTTCATGGTACTGAGTGGTGTTTGTATCACAAAGTTAACCGACTGATATTGAAAACTTAAGATCGATGTTGATATGCTGTCTAAGACTTTTCAGATCTTTTCTCTGCTATCCGCACATTTTCCTTGTGCAGTCAGCTAAGCATTCGTATTTTAGGAAGAAACAAATTCCCCATGTTCTTTTATTTTGACATATTTTGTCACTGATGACAGTACGTAGAAACGAACAAATGTTTCTATGTATGATTCAGCCTATTGTTTGAAAATGTGTTCTAAAAAAGAGATCACAAGCATACATTAATATTAAGTAGTACGTTGAGGGGATGAACAGTGACAAATTCTACGTACATTATCAGAAATTGACCTTTATGACAGCACTAAAACAAAGCTTCTCCAAGTTGTCACTACTCTTATCATTTAGTAATCTTTGTCACTAGACGACACACAACAAGACCTTAGAATTTTCAGGTATCTCCAAAAGTTGTCTACTAGAGTATGGATTCACCACATGTTGACATCAGATTCTAGAGGCTTATTAACACAATAAATGCCATCATTCCTTCACAGTAAAGATAAATAAATCTTCATCTGCCCATCTACGATAAGTACGTTACCCTATTTTCAACCTGAATTGATCCAAAGGCCATATTCTTAAAAAGTGCAAGTAGCCAGGATAACAATTCAGAATACGGTCAACTTGCTGGTAGGTGGAATCAAATCAATGAAAGACAGCGAAAAGTGCTTGGGAATTAAAACATACAATCTTATAGACCAACATCATCAAATATCAATTACTGCCCACTAACTGGCATCTTGATCATCTTAGTTAGCAGTTTGGGAATTATTTGATTTTAGTTATAATCCAGTAGCCTTCGCCGAAAAATAGTTGTTGTCATAGTAACTTCTTTGTGTGACATAAACTTATAAACTGATGGGATCCCTATTTTCGAAATGAAATGGTTTTCCTCCAGTAAATCATGAGCAAATTGGATTACAATCAAAGAATCTCATAACTAAAAGCACGTTGTATAAACAAGCAGTTGTTTTATCCATGTAAAATCGTTGTATTTTACCCACTAAAAACTTCGACAAGTGATGTGTCTTTTGTTTAGTTAGCATTTTTCAAATAACCGACATAAGTTCAAATTACAATTGGGGTATTAGGGTGGAAAAATGAGTCACATCGCAAGTCTTCCAGACCTGCTAACTAAACAAAGCCTTTCGTTACTGAAACTCACCATGCTTCAGTCTGAGTTCCAAACTGTATGCGTCTACATCGTTGTGCGAATATTTATCCTCACCAAACAACTTGAAGCTTGTATTCCATCTTAATGACGACCAAATTAATCGGTGGTTGGCAAGAAGCTGGATGGAAACATCTGCTACTCCAAGTACAGATGGTTTTGACTCCATAAACCTGTAGATAGTGCAAATGGGACGTTGTATTTTTTTGGTCACTTAAAACGAAATGTAAATGGAAGGAAACTGTTGCGACAGGAGAGTACTTTGCTGTCTATTTGAGTGTTCCCACTTCATTACATTTCCAAATTTTAGCTTCTGGTTTCAAATACACACTTCAATAAAGGTACTTAAACCAATGAATCAGCCTAATTCTATGAGTGTTTATGAATCATTAGATCGATCCTTACAACTATTTCTCAGTAGTCAACGTTGGTGTAAACAGAGGTGTCTAAATTGTAGACAATCGGTTATATCTATTTGAAAGTGTACAGAAGTCAACGTCTGTGGTTCATCGATTAGTCTAAACTAATAAACTGATTACCTATAACATTGTTTTTTATCACGTTTGTAGACGGTTCATTCGAATACTACTAGTTACGATAAACTTTATATCCACTATCTCAACAGGTAGCTACTACCTAGAGATGGGAGTCGGTCTTGCATATCATAGAGACCCACCATGAGCAATGCCGGCCGGAAAACTTGTTTCTTAATGTTCTGCCTAAACAGAAGGGTCTGTTGAACAATTTACGTCATCACATGAGAGGCCAGTGTCATATTTTTGGCTTCTAGGCTTTAGAAAGAAGTAGACAATTTCTACAGGTGACCAGAAGTGGATGCTGATGCTGCTTTTGTGATGAAAAAGAAGGTATGAAAGATAAGCTTCAAATACTGCACAATCCCCCATGTTCTGTGGTTTTCTGGTGCCAAAAAGTACGTTTTCCAGATAAACTAAGGATCTTAAGATCTAAAACTCTAATTTTCAGAAATGAGGTTCGAAAACAGATGTCTACTGCTTTCACGGTGTGACCAGAAGAGAAATGTTACGCACACCTCTTTCACACTCAAATCACCTCAGGTCGATATGAGTCTTTAAAGTTCTTTGCATCCTAATCCTGCTTCATATATCCTGGAAAATATTCCTGTTTCATCGTTAATTTCTTGCAGCTCCGTATCCCGTGATTATGACTCCGGTTATATGAGAACATACCTAGTCTCATGGAATGACTCTTCAAACTTCTTACTCATGCTTTCGATATACACATCCGCCGTCAAATTGAACTACAAGCCTCATTGGAGGAAATATTATTATCTCGGGAAATGTACACATGCTGTGTTCCGTCAACGAACACACGAGACATAAGTAGTACTGTTCATCTCAACGCACAAGGATATCCACAAAGCAACATGGATTAAACCAGACACCAGGACACACTAAAACTAAGATCGACTTCATCTCAATCTCGAGAGAGTGCAGACGCAGTCTACTTGACACAAGATCAGATCAAGAAGAGGAGCACATGTAGGTTCCAACCATTACCTTGTGCAAGGAACCTTCAAAATCAAGTTGATAGCCTTTAAGAAAGTTGGTGATGGACGGTCACAGTCCAAGTTCAACACCCAGAACAGAAAGTGAAGGACGAAACTACAAAGGAAATCTTCACGCCAGTCAGCCATCAAGACAAAATGGGAGATATCGAGCAACATCCCTGAAGAAACCTGTGTGGAAGAACACTGGAAGTCTTTGAAAGCTATGTGGAAAGAAAGCTGCACTACTGTATGAGGAGGAAGAAGAAAGAAGACAGGACAAGGAATGGATCTTGACGGATACATGGAAGCTGATAGCGGAGAGGAGGATGGTGAAGCAGAAGATGAATGAGTGCAAGGATGAACGATGAGAAGATTAACTGAGTACAATGTATAAAACACTACACTGGACAAAGAAGTGAAGAAGAGTGCACGCAAAGACGAAAGACACTTCTACAACACACTGTCAAGTGAGGCAGAACAGGTTGCAGGTAAGAGAGACCTGACAGCATTGTATCAAACAACCAAGTTGCTATCTGGGAGGAGATCAAGGCAGACGAAACCAATAAAAGATGATGACGTAGCTTAATTACGAAAGAAGAAGAACAAAGGAGACGGTGGGCTGACCACTTCAAGAAGCTCTTGAATCGACCACCACCAGCACCACCACCACCACCAGCACCACCACCACCTGCACTTCGTCCAGAAATACCACCTACAGCCACAGAACTACAAGCGAACATAAATCCTCCAACAAAAGTGGAAGTCCTGAATGCGATAGGGCTACTGAAATGCGGGAAAGCAGCAGGACCAGATGGAATGCTGCCAGAAGCACTGAGAGCAGGCGCAGAGACAACAGCAGACATGCTCACACCACACCACTATTGCAGAACGTTTGCAAGAAAGGAAGTAAAGGTACCTGCTGATTGATTGGAAGAAGGGCTACCTTGTCAAACTCCCAAAGACGGACGACCTAAGTCTTTCCAAGAACTGGTGAGGAATCATGCTCCTGTCCACCCAAAACAAGTAAAATATTAAGCCGCATCATCCTGGAGAGACTAAAGCATGCACTGGATTCAAAATTACGACCGGAGCAGTCGGCTGGCTTCAGGAAGAACAAATCATGTGCAGATTAAATTGCAACTCCACGCATCATCATAGTGCAGAGTATAGAATGGCAGTCAACTCAACTCTCCACCTCAACTTCATCGACTTTGAGAGGGCCTTTGACAGCGTCGACAGAGAAGTCATTTGGCAGACAACTGAACTGCTTCAACACTACCATTTTGGTGCCACAAATCTTTATTATTCTCACTCTGCTGTTATATGCTATATAATGCTAAATGGCAAGTAATTCACGATGGGAAACTCAGTGACGCTTTTCAAGTGAAGACACGAGAAAGTAAGACAAGGCTGTCGCCTACTATCACCAATCATCTACCTGATTGTGGTGAACTGGATCATGCAGCAAACCGTGAGGAGTGAGAAGGTGAGCATACGCTGACTAGACCGATGAGAAGACCCTAGAAGAAGATTTGGATTTCTCCACTGATGGTGCTGATGATGATGATGATGATGATGATGATGATGATGATGATGATGATTATGTCTGATGTCTTGTGGTACAAACTCGAAGATCTACAGGCGAAAACTGACAAGTTAACAGGAGAGGCAGCGAAGGAAGACGGGACTTAAAGTGGATGTGGGGAAGACGGAGGTGATGAAGATACCCAACAAACAACAAACAGCATGAACAGCAAGCACCAATCACCCTCAACGGGAGCAACCTAGAGGAAGATGTCTCTTTCACCTACGTAGGTGGGGTAGCATCGTTTCAACTACAGACGGTACAGAGGAGGACGTCAAAGCCAGGATTTGAAAGACAGCAAGACAGGCCTTCGTTAACCTGAAACCAGTGTGAAGATCTGCACTCAGCGTAAAGAACAAGATCCGGGCTTTCAACACTAATGTCAGTCAAGTCAGTGCTTCTATGTGATGGTTGAGAGACTTGGTGTGTCTCGAAAAGCATTTCCTACAAACCACAGATATTCATCAACAACTGGCTACGCTGGCTCGTTACTGAAGATCATATGGCAGAAAGAATAAGCAACAAGGAACTCTGTCTGGATGGCAACGAACCAACCGAGAACCTATCACTCAACAAATATGCACTGGAAGGAAGTGTAGATGGATTGAGCATGCACTGAGGAGACCATTCTGGGATGTCATGCGCCAGGCCCTCGAGTGGAAGCCGAATGGGAAGCGACGAGTTTAGCATCCCATCAGAGGGTGACATGGAGGAGATGGTGTAAGGGGAAATGGAAGCTTATGAGCAATCGTGGAGCCAGGTTCGAGAGGTTGCGGAGAACAGAGTGCACTGGAGAAGTGCTACTGAAGCCTTATGTTCCACTAGGAACCCAAGGGACAAATTATAATCAATGAATATTAATAATAGTCAATATCTTGGAGTAGTTAACAAGGCTGTTAGAAACCTGAAACGAATACGTCTAGGACGATCATAAGATTTAGTATTAGAAGTACTTGAAGATAGCGGTCAGGTTTTTTTGTTTGGATTATTCTAGCTGTTAGCTGCTGTGTAAGAATCAGTTATGTTGGCAATGGATTATATAAAGCGCCAAAAAGCAATGCAGAATATAATACTGTTGCGTCGTGTGATACACCCTTATATTAGTCATTTGAGTACTAACTATGATATCATTGAAAAGATACGTAACCATCCGCTTCATTAGATATACTTTTACCAAATGGTTGTCATTTTGTTATCTGAAGCCTCTGGTTGAATTGTAAGTTTACGATCAACCACTTCTTCTCCTGTCTGTAGAACTGGGATTCTTTTTCTTTATCATTCTTCTAATTATTAATTTACTTTCTTAGGAACATGTATCCGCATCTCTTAGTGATTACTTGTTCTTTAAGTCCCTTTGTATGCTGTGGCTATATGATCACAGTCTTAAGATTACGAATAGCAAACGGTGTTTGAAAAGTCATTCAGTGAACGAAATTCCATCATTATCTACCTCATGAAATATATTCACTTTTTCATTGGACACAAGTGTTCTTCGGCAAATTTTCAAGAGCTCAGTTGGTTGTCCTTCCTAATGGTTTATTGCCTTATGTTTTCTTGTCTTCAAGTAGACTCCAAAATAGCTTTCTGTAAAGCATTCTCATTGAAATCATAAATTTTAGCTGATTCCTTAAACATTTCGGCGTTTATCTGACAAAACTCTTAGCCACTTGGATTGTTTTCACTAGATGAATACATTTACCAATTTTGACTTTTCAGAGTTTAAATTCTCTTTTTATGTTTTTGTTTTTCCATGCATAGAATCGGGCTTTTCCTTTTCTGAAATTTATTTTGATAGCTTATTTGGTTACATAGTTTTCTTGGCCTTTGCAAACATATATGTATATACGTCAGATTCATCTATGTTTTTTATTGCTGCACTTTGTTCAATCAATGATTCGATGTATTGTTTAGCTGTTGGACCAGATAGCAAACAACTATGTGAATAGTAAAGCAGTACATAGTTGACTCCTTAATAATCGGTATCACATGAAGAGCTTTCGTTATCCAGTAATCATATTCTAAGATTAGTTGAACTTTTTCAAGCAATTTTATTTATTCATAAGCAGAAACTTGATGATGTAGTGCAAGAATAAGACATTCACTTGCAGGCTTATTGTATGTCACACATCCAATAAGTTTGATAGATATATCAGCCAGAAAGTAACCTGGGCTTTCTTGACCCTATGTCATGATAGTCATGAGAGTGATAATGTTCTTAGCCGTTAACTACATTTCTGAAATGAAATTATGAATGCATACATGTATATAGACAACGCTTCTAATTTGCCAGAAATTCATAGATGAATTTTACTAACGCACTTGCGTGGATAGACATTTGGAAATGTTTCCTCAATACCAAGTAAGGCTGCAATAGCTAATTGAATGTATTTGGCAAAATACTCATATGCTTAAATGGTCTAAAATGTTGTCAATCACTCCAAATTAATCAAATTTGTGTGGCATAAAAATACAAGCTTAAGTGTACATACATAGAAACTTGTATACTGATGTATTCACAAGAGTATATTTCAAAAAAACATATAAAGGTAGGAGAAAAAAATTACACAACTTATGATTTAGATTTTAGAGTTTTGAGCTTACCAAGATGTACCTGTATCACACACAGCTGAGTTTATACTATCAATTTTGAAAGATGCAGCTGGATTTTTTTCTATTTTGAAAGTGTTCAAATACGACGTCATATTTTCCACTTGTAGTGAATCGTTTTGGCTGAGGTGTGTACTTTCGGTTGAGAAATAAAAATAATCAGGGCGCTCAGAGTCTTGGATAAGAAATTTTATTTTAATGTCAGTTGTACAGTTAATACTTCGAATCAGCACTATTTCTCTATCGTCATCTAGTGGCTTCATAAAGATTGCTGCCAAATTATTTGGATATGAACCGATCCATACAATGGAATTTCTCGCTGAGTCTACTACGAAGTCGATCACAGATGATTGTTGGACCAAAGCTGAGTAACCATGTATAACATTTTCGAAACTGTTACCATAGATATCACTTTGCGAAGAGCTAGGTATCCACCTATAAATCTTTGAAAAAAGATTAAATGACTATAATATTTCTACAAAATATGCGTTTAGAATTCCATTTGATTTATACTTCAGTCTACGAAAATAAACTCAGTTTTGAAGTTGGGTGCTTCATGACATACATCTCTAGCATACGTGAGCAATATTACCAAAGCTTGCAATTTTCATCTGTCTATTTAACTAAAGCAGGCCATTTTTGACAGATTCCATTAATATTGACTACTTCAGGCTCAACTTAGCTCCCTTATTTCATTCAGTAAGACATAAGTCAATGCAAACTATAGCCAAATTCTGAAAGAATGTCTAAGCATTGAGTGTTTGCATAGGGAAAATCTAATAAGTACGATGCTAATGTTAATTCAAGTGTACCTGAGGTTTTCAAAACGTTATACCATTGGATCTGCTTATGTCAGTGGGGTAAATGATTGAAATAAAACCGTAAATTAAGATCTGAAAAATGTCAGTCAACTAAATGGATGTTTCTTTTAATGTAAATTTTTGCTTGGGTGGACTTTTTAGATACTGAGTTCTCAGTGTGCACAAATCAAGCCAGAGATGAATATCCTTTTCCCTACTGTTATATATTCATTGACAATTCCTACCAAAGAACTGTCACATTGTGTAAGCTCTGTGAAATGTTAGCGATTATGCCTAGGCATAAGGAAAAATAGGTTTGAACAACTTTGGGCAGACCTTGCATCTCTGAAAGAGAAGACTTTCTATTCACCTAAAAAGGAATAACGAGACTAATTACTTAACTTATGAGGACCTGAAAATCTGTGAAATATAGGTCATCCTAGCAGAAAAAACGCATGAAATTTTAGCTAGGAAACTTGCTGCGATCTTATTGTTATTTGTTGATGCTTCAATTAAATTCACACAACTCATGAAAAGTTATCGGAATAATGAAACTTGAGAGTACTGGAAACCACATGGAATCCAGTTAACTGATAGTTAACACTGAATTACCTATATTATGAATACTTACTGTATTAAAGTTTGTTATTCATTCAGAATTGATGAATAAAAAATGTTTTCTTTAGTCCTTCTTTTTCTTACTCATTAGGTATCAACTTTGTGTTTTTATGATGGATTATGTACAGACACATACAACCGAATCAATAGTTTAACCTATATATGGCCTTCTAATATTTACAAGTTTATACAACCATATTTCAGTTATCAGGACGTCTCTTCTTCAATTCTGTCAAGCAGAATGATAAAGCGGCTGGACAATATTTTCACTTTACTTTTAATGCATGCTATTTTTAACAAAATGGAAGTGAATGTCTTTGCTGTTACACCTGATGCCAAGGAAAAACAAACATGTTGCAAGGAAATGCTTCAGAGAATGTGCCAACAGTTTGGGATACTACAGCATCAAGTTGAAATGTATTGAATATTTCTTATTGAGTTCTAGATGCAACCTAATCTCATCAGAAGCTGGTACGGGTATACTCTAAGGATGAGCCTTCTATTTTTTCTTGATATTTTAAAACAAATGAGTAGAAAAGTTAAAGGGAAATAAGGCAGTCTATGATAGTAGACTACAGTACATAAAATTCTAAGAAAACTAGAGTAGTCTGTAATGTGCTAAGTCACAGTTAGCAGTTCACACTTAATACGAGGGTTTGTTAACTCAGGGATACGAAAAAGAGTTAAAAGTTATTGTCTATTGGTGTGTGAACACTAATTTACAGTAACAATAAGAAAAGAGTGAAAGCAGTCGTAACGCATTTATGTCCTCATTAACCTTGTTTAGTGGATAGAATGATATGTAACCCCAAAATAATGAGCCCCAAGTCAACATGGTTTAATGAATGAAGATCTTAAATCAGTTTCAATGTATATATGTGTCAGTGCGTTTGTTTATAAACTAAATGCGGCATGTGTACGTCTTAGGATCCTAGAAATTATACATTTTGATGGTTCATAATAAAATGGTGTAAGTGCAAGTTTTTTAATTTCAATCTTGGCATAATTTATTCTTCACTTTAGTTTTTTGTTAACATTACTTCCTGTATTTAGTGACACAAACAACTTACTTATTACCATCATATTTGGTTAGTTTTATGCATTTTTCTGTTTACCTGAAATTAAATTATCACCGTGAATGGAGGAAATATTTTAACTGTCCACCAGACAGTTTTCTTGCTGATCATATAAATAAAGTGACGGAAAGGGAAGAAAACGATTTCACATATATTCTAGATGCATAAAATTTTTAATAAATTTTACTTCTATGCAATATATTACCCATTTAGTGCTTGGATTAAGGAAATAAAGCTGAGATCTTTGTCTGTCCAACACAATGCGAGAAGCTTTAACATTGATCAAATGTGCCCAATTAGCAGTAGCTAATTTCGTTGAACTATTGATAGTCACTTGATTCCACGGGAAGTGTTTAGCCATCGCTAATGCGGAAGAGATTGATCCACCAATAATTGAGCCCAAATAAACTTCACCGCTGTTTAGGAGAATCCATATCTGACCTTTATTAAATATGATGTCTGTCAATGGAGAAAACGCTTGCAGTTAAGCAATAAAACAAATTGGTCTAAAATCAAACTTTCTTACATGATGAATAAGTGTTTGCTCAGGACATAGTTTACTGTTTCGAAATTTTTGATGAAAACTTAGAGTAAATCAGTATATTTCTGAGTCATTACACATTTTAGATAACGGAAGCAGTCCCATACTTGCCATAAGCACGAAGAAGCACTGACACCTATTGCGGAAAGCTCCACCAAAGGGTGCTATATCATTTACAGAATTCGTGAGGAATAGGAAATGTAGGTTACCTAAAAATATTATTTTGATATTAGTTATTTGTCTTTGTTATTCACGAAAAGTTTGCCTTAATAAGACAGTCGAATGTAGTGGCAGAAGCATAATGCCAAGTCAATGGAAAAAGGCATTACTTAGTTCTTACTGGATTTAAAGTACTAATCATTGCAAATGAAGTTTTAAATAACGTTAATGGCTGTGATATCAACTGTAATTTTTTAGCTTAACAATAGAGAAATCGAATTCCTGGTTTTCATAATTTTGCATAAGCCTGGTTATGCCAAATTTATTCGCGAAATTTGACTGATCAAAATCTCTGAGAAGCTTTAGAAATCAGAGTCATACTTGTAAAATTTTCTCAGAACAACTGAACACTTTCAAAATAACAAAACTGTTATTTCTTCTCTTATTTTGCAAGAACTTAAAAAATTGCATGAGATCACTCAATCAGCCTTTATTTTTCATCCACTGAAAACAACAAAACTATTTTCCAATCACCCGTAAACAAGATGTCTACACAGTGTGACCTAGTTTGACGTAAACAAAAATCCTCGGTCAAACAATAGACACCGAAACTATATCTCAAGTGCACTGAGCAAAGTGAATCATCAGTCCCCTGAAATGCTTACTTTTCAAAGATAACCTTTAGTAAATCCAAAACTAGCCAAATCTAAATTCATAGAGAAATTCTAAAATATCTCGTCAAAAGTATTTCACCTGATCGATCAGTTTTCTGGGATTGACTAAAGTTGTAAAATATATCCTGTTGATCAAGCTAAGAAAGAAACCACTGTATAAAAGAGAACTCCCTTCAAAATAGCACACACCTAAAATACTGAAAAACAGTGGTTTTCTGTTCGCTGGTTTGACACCCCCAACATATGTCATTGCATCAGTTTTATTATTCTCCATGTTATGAGTCCACATAAAATATCGAAAGTAGTCAGAACATAGGTATATCTCGTTAAAAACTCTCGAATGAAATGAAATATGCGAACTACAGTACACTTACAAAACTTTGCACAGATGAAGATAAGAATCAAGGTGACTGGTAATGGAGAAGCTTTTATCTCTTTTTTGATTGAGCAACTCATCTTTTCCCTTCACTGTTCATCAAACCACTTTTCGCAGTTATATTGCTGATTTTTATAGAAATTTAGTAACAGCATCATCTAGCTACAATAAAAGTAAAGGCTGTTTATGAGACAGTTTGATGAGTAAAATTCCCTAAATCGGTCTGATTCGATAACTTTCTGATATCTCCTGCTGCATACACTCTCAGTGTATTTGTGTGATAAATTTTTGACACTCTAAGTATCATTCACAGTATTCATATTTGACATCAGTTCAACCACATATAATGTTTAATAAGTGGACTTTTATACTGTTTTTTCAAAACATTTGTGACCATACTTTGAACTTCCCTGTATCCATATTAAATGGTTTTATATCATGAATGGTAATTTGCTCCACTTTAGTCAGAATGCACAACTATAGTGGTTACTAATGTTGGAATCAACACATATCTCACGCTGTACGTGCAGTAATGTCAAAATAGCTGAAAGTTGAAACAGTATGAACTGAGATTTTCCAAGTTTCACAAAATATCATCTTTATCCACACCAAACGTGTTAGAAAGTATGTGTTATATGCATTTTTTGTAAAAAAATTGAAAATATCCAATTAACTCGAAGGATTTATTTACATCAGTAAATAATGAGACCATCATTTAGATACACGAAAAATATATTATCATTAATAACATCGCTTATCGTGACTGCATGAACGAATTAAATACAAACTCAGGGCTAAATTGTTCTCTTACTATAAGATGATGAAATATGCTGGCATCACTTCTTAACGTTTCCCGTTACCTTTATATTCTATTGTGTTGAGTTCAAAGACTGGAATCACATAGTTCATTTATTTCTTTACTTTACCGAAACCTTTGTAGAACTTTCTGTGAACCAACTAAAAACGTTTTAAGCCTGTCGACTTTGTTTATCTTATCCCAATTTTTATCGCCGCTTACAATACATGGTAACTTTAAAGAAAATGTAGATAAGGGAAAATTTATCACTCCTTAATTCGTGAAAATAAATATTTTGTCTTGTAAATACTTCCATTCCACTTTATATTTTTACATTAAAATATAGAATTGTAGTCCTTTCTTTATGTGATTTTTTCAAAAATCATTATTCTTTACTATCTCTGTCTGTTATTTTGTTGGGAAAAATACAAGCCGAGGAAAGTATGAGCCATTTGATTCCGACCACATTACTAGTGATAACGTGCTGGCGGCGAAGCCTGAAGGTCATGGATTTGTTCTTCGGTGGAGTCACATATGTGCACCGCTGAGGAGCCTCATGTTAGGAAGAAACAGCCCACCAGTTCTCCAGTTTTCAGCTGTTTTTTGGAAGATGGCTATCCTTGATGAATCGCAACTTGAAAATAGTTAAGTCCACATAAACCTCCAATTATTATTTATTATAGGTCAGTCGTATGAGATTTTGTGATTAAATTTCCCGTGTTAATGTATTCTCTTATAAGCTCATAGAATATGGATGCCTTGTACATCACAAGAGTTGCTATGTCCCATTTAATATGTGAGATATGAGAAATCGAACGGAGTTTAATGACGCTATATTTTTTCACTTGGCTGGAGTAGGCAAATCAGAAAGTTACAGCCAGTCGAATCCTCTCTGCGTTCATATATTTTATAACTGAAGGCTAAGATAGAACGAGACATATTTTTAGTGAATTCTTGCGATCGAAAATAAACTGTGTTTAAGGCAGACTAGAAATTCGTTTACAGCTGAGCCACATTATGTGCTAATGTCAACATTTCCTGTAGCCACTCAAATAATTTTAGCAAAAAAGACGCCTATAAAAACTTCCAATTTATACAGTATAAGGAGGAAAAAAGCAAATGAACCAGATAGTTGAATGTCTCGCAATCTATTAAAATGGAACGATTTATATTTATTTTGACAGAATATCATTTCAACAGGTAATCACTAATTAACTTTTCGTTCCTAAGTTTCAAAGGGAACATCTTCCCCAATCCATCAATATAATAATGACACTTCATTGAAGAAAAATTGAAAATCAAATCCGAATTACCCGAGCATTTACCAGTAACAATGACGTATCATTTACAAGTTTCAAACTTATAAAAAAGCTATTTTTATTCTACCTTTAATGTTCCGATGAAACTGATGAACAATTGAATAGACGAATATCCAATTCCCATTCAAAAAGATATATACGTGAATATAGTTCTTTTCTGCTATCATGAAGTTGATTGAAAGATCTAAATTGGCACAAAAAGTACAGAAGTTATTTTACATGAATCACCCGCATACATTTCTACCATAATAATAGCATTGGTGAAATTTCATGCAGTAGTAAACCTCGTGCCGAATAATTAGTCTATAAACCATGTACCCATGGATTGGCAGTCAACTGGATCTTTACCTTAACTTCATTGACTTTGAAAAGGCCTTCGATAGCGTCAACCGAGAAGTAATTTGGTAACTGCTTCAACACTACGGTTTCAGTGCCACTAACCTTTATCAATCTCATTAAACAGCAACTATATGATGACGCCACATGCCAAGTAATTCACAGTGGAAAGCTCAGTGACGCCTTTGAAGTGAAGACAGGTTGATAGGTAAGACAAGGCTGCCACCCATTATCACCAATGATCTTCCTGATTGTGGTCGACTGTACTGGAATGGACTGAATCATGCAACAGACAACTGTGAGGAGCGAGAAGGTGAGCATACGCTGACTAGACCGATGAAAGGAACCGAGAAGAAGATTTGGATTTCTCCACTGATGATGATGATGATGATTTATGTCTGGTGTCTTGTGGCACAAACTCAAAGATCTACAGGTGGAAGCCAACAAGTTGACAGAAGAGGCGAGGCAGGGCAGCGAAGATGAGACTTCCTTGAAGTGAACGTGGAGAAGATGGAGGTGATGAAGACACTCAACCAACAACACAACAAGCACCAATCACTGTTAACTTGAGTAACCTGAAGGAAGTTGTCTCTTTCACCTACCTAGTTAAGGTAGCATGGTCTCAACTACAGGCGGCACACATGAGAAGGTCAGAGCTAGGATCGGAAAAGCAAGATCGACTTTCATAAATCTTAAATAATCAGTGTGGAGGTCTACTGCACTCAGCACAAAGAACAAAATTCGGATTTTTAAAACTGACGTCTAGTTAGTGCTTCTATGTGATGGTGCAGAGATTTGGCCTGTTACAAAAAGCATTTCTAGCGAACTGTAGACATTCATCAACAGTTGCCGCCTACGCTCACCCGATACCGAAGTCCAGATGAATGGTCAGAACAATAGGAATAAGCAAGGTGGAACTCTGGAAACGGATCAATCAAGAACCCATCGCCTGCCAAATATGCAGAAGAAAGTGGAGATGGATTGGATTGGACATACACTGAGAAGACCTTTTGGGGACATCACACTTCAGGCCTTTGAGTGGAACCCAAATGAAAGACGACGAGCTTGGCTTCCGAGGATAACATGGAGGAGATGGAGGAAATGGTGTTAGGTAGAAGTGAAAGCTTCTGGGCAGTCGTGGATTCAGATTCAAAAGACTGCAGTGAAGAGAATGGAATGGTGACGTGCTACTGACGCCCTGTGTTCCACTGGATCCCAAGGGACTTATAATAAATAATAATAAACCGTGCACCGGTAATTTTACTTTAAATACAAATATCTCTATGAATGATCTTTTCTTGCTCAGAATTGATACGAAAATAAATCATACCTTTAAGAAAATATTTGAAGTTAGTGAGATTTTCGTATACGTGTTTAATAGGCTTACCAATGTGCTAATTGGGATATGAAGAAACAAGGCTATCAACGAAATTTTGAAAATACATTCAGTATTGCTAATAATCTCAGTAAGACGATAACGTGACATAAAGGAAGTAAACACCCATTATCACCATGAGTTGGTACACCAAACTGATTGTTTCTGATGACTGACGGGATAGGATTAGTTACTATCTGAAAAGTTTGCTAAGAATAAATATGGGCAAGTTTTTATATATCGCAACGAGCGACGACTGTTTGGAATGGATGAAGCATGGAATCTGAAATCGTGAACCTCATATGCATAATTTAAACTCTAATGTTTTCCTTCATATCATGTAACTTAATTGGTCAGTCACACAAGAAATTTTGTTTCATATTTCTTGATCACATTTATTATTGTAAACCAGAAGTTAAGGACCGTCTTTGTCATGTCAGTTGGATGTGTCTTTGTAGCAATTAGACTGTTTAAAATATTTGACTGACATCTCAATTTTTATGTACTGATTTAGGAAGTAAGCCATTAACCGCAAACGCTTTCTAATTTATGGGTAAGTGGTTTCGAGAGCAACATTTGTATGTCAGAAAAAGCTTTACTCCCTCCAAAGGAGACATTTCTGTAGGCTCCGAATAACAATTGAAATGAAAGACTTCTATGGCTAAAAGAAATGTACTACAACTGTAAGTGTTAGTAAAAGTTTAAAATATTAGGTACATATACAGTCATTAATTATCGATTTCAGTTACGTGGCTACTTAGTTATAGTCTGGAAAAAAGATCATTTGAACTGTACCGTAAACATACTGAGGTGGAAAATGTCTCTTGGCAGCGACCATTTCAGTGACATAGATATGAACCTGATCTCCGTATAGCCGGTGTTTTCCGTTTCTAAGAGTAAGATTATATGAAGGTGAGAATAAATTACGATCCATAGGAAAAGGTAAAATAATCTTTCCCAATAGAACTATATGTTTCGGCATTCTAAGTCGTAGGTATTAGAAAAGATACCACCGTGAATGAATGAACCTGTTATGCTACTTCTATTGTAGCTTTTGCTGTTTCCAAAATCTTGGCCTTTAATTTACTTTTCATAACTAATGTATCATCTGTCGCGTGACTCTTGTACAAATTAGTCACCTACCCAGGGTGATTTTGTTTCAGTTGTTTAAGCACCATAGTAGCATAATATCTAATGTTCTAATATCATTTTCAGACTCGAAATTTTTCACTGAGACATAGAAGAATAAAATCTTTGGCAAACAATCTTTCCTCAGAAGTCTATTTTCTCTCCCACACAGCAGAAAATCACAAATTTTGGCTAGAAAAGTAGTTTATTGAATAGAATTTCTCATTCATTAATGAACCGGGTTTATTTTAGGAGCAGAACTTATCAACAAAGTTGATGCTTGTAGGCACTTCCTTTGTTTGAACATGTCTCCATGAATTGGTGTTGTTTTGAACAACTGAATGAAGTGGACATAAACAACCACACACTTTAAATCGTTTACATGTGGGATGACAAATAAAAACATAGTTTTCTCACTATGAAAGGACGCGTGAAATTAACAGAAACTGTAAATCTGTAAGAAAAAAGAAGCAATATACATATAAAAAAGTAAGACATGAATTTAGTTTTGACGGTGATAAAACGTTCATGACGCTTAAAGACTAGTGGACTATCGTTCCCTTGGTTTTTGACAATGAACACATGCACATGAACTTGAAAGACTATGAATCAGTGAGAACTATTCTTAACCTTGTGTGGAGCTGATATAAAATTCTCTCACCCCTTGTTTCGCTTTTCAAGATTATTGATTATTTTTAAGATGAAAGAATGTTGCATATCCAGAAAAGTAGCATCGCAGCGTAATATTTTATTGACTAGTATAGAACTGACTACTGATTCCTCTGAATGAATTCCGTATACATCACTGAGCAATGAAAGGTCACGTCACTCGTCAATAATTCATGAACTCTGCATTGAAATAAGAACTCTTTCAAACTTTTTCTACTACCGTGATTTAGGTTACACCATTTTTCAAGCTTTTGTGTGATATTGTTAACAGAATCTCTCCTTATTCCTTGTCATACCTATATTTACAAAATTCGAATCTCTTTCTGTCATTACCTCTCTCGGATACACCGGTGAGCATATTACATAGTTATTAAGAAGCGCAAATATTTCACATGAAAAGGTGAGCATATATTTTGTTGATTTCAACCTAATCCTCCTATGGATGAAAAAACTGAAGGGGTTAGTAGCGACTAATACTTGTTGCGATCGCTGATTGGTCAGCTGGAGTACACGTAATGCTCTGACTTGACTGGACACCTTGTAGCGCCAGCGATGTTTCATTTTCATATTTGTTACGACGAGACTTGTAATACAGTATATACTTGGTAAACATTAGAAGATTTGAGTATTGATTGTCAGTGGCTTTAACTCTAATGGATGGATTTATGTAAAGCTTAAAATATTGTATAGTGAAATATTCAGTAAAATGGTTAGTCAAAATAACGAGAATAGCTAACCTTTTGTCAATGTTTTCCATGTAGAACAAATTTCTGATCAGACTGCTGGACACTAATTTGAAGTTGATATTGAGTATTCTTGGATAGATCTGATATTTCATGCTTCATTGTCTCGTTGAAATCCTTTTGCTCAACCAAACCGACGACACTTGATGATTTTGTGGAAGATATTTTCAAAGAATATGACCATTTGTGCCAAGAAGATGGATCTAAAAATACTACATTTAATAATATATGCCATTTTTCTTAAAACTTGTTAAGCAAACCTTCTGTCACTTAAACTGTATTCTCATTATAATTTGTATCAGTATGTCATCATCATCGTGAAAATCTGTACACGAACAGGCGTTACTGTATAACGGTCCAAGTTGCCAAACCTCACATCAGCATAGAAAGCAAAAAGGCAACAAAATGAAATAAAGAAAAGAAATCGGTCAAGAGAAATGCATAGTAGTTAAAAAAAGAAGAAGGAATGAAAACATGATGAGGCGAAGTATAGAGGTTCAGATGAGGATAATGTGTGGATACATAAGCGCCATCAATATCGGTTCTGGGCCATATTAATTAGAGTCTCGATAAGTGGTTTCTTTGCCCCTTGGACCTCAATCGGCTAGTTTACATCGGCTTACATGCCTCAGACGAACGGTTAAAGACTTCATTTTTAATGATATGTCTTAGTCTGGTCACCCTAAACCCTTTTTTCGGCCTGAACCTACTTCGAGCAACATCACGCGTCGAGGTAGACGGTGGCTAGGCATACGTAACACATGTCTGTCATCTCGGATGATGAAGGTCCAAAACCGCATCAACTGACTTACACTTCCTCTCTAAAGCTCCAACCCTGACTTTGGTGTTACTTATGTGGTGAAACCATGAAATACGGCATATGCTACGAAGGCAACGGTGGTCAAACACCCAGGGTCTTCTTACGTCTTCTACCTCTAATGGTCATGCTTGACAGCCATACAGAAGAACTGAGGAGACTACAGAGTAGTGCACCCGACACTTAAGAAGCAACTAGATATCACGGCCACTTCTGACAGTATCTTTCTTCATGTGTGAAATTTGTCCTAGCCAGAAATAAATGGTTATCTGAGCACAGTTGTGGCATGTGATCACCGTTATCTCCTCGCCCAGCTTGGATCCGGAAAGTGCCATCTTAGTGCCTTTATGCCTGACTTGGCCTACTCACTCGTGCATTAAAATCACCTGCAACAGCAACCATATCTGAACGTTTGGCTTTCAGAAGGAGGCTAAACAGTTTTTGGTAGAACCCATCCTCCCCTTCATCCGGACTGTAGTCAGACTTTACAAAGTGACAAGAACGAGTTCAACAATTCCATTTAGTTCTTATTGTGCCGTTCATCCAGACAGCGCATAGGTAGTAGTCAACTGAGATCCAGCCTAGTAGTAAGCTTTCTACCCTAGTGCTTAAGGTTATGGCAATACCCGCAAAACCTCAAGAACGAGCTGTCGAATTTCCAGAAACTAGAAGTGTGAATGTCGCATACTTGGGTTTTGTATGCGTGTCTTACAAACACAGCACACATCCATGGTTGAGTTGCTGAAATTTTGATCACTATTGCTTGTTGGTCAGTTTAACAAAGAGCGCGGACATTGAAGACTCCAGTTTGTGAACTGGAGCGCCGTTCGAGGAGATCAAGGACGCTTTTTTGTGGACTCAGATCATTGTGGGAAACTGCAGAGCTAGAAAAAATTAAAGATGGTGTAGGGTTGTTAATTACAATACGTGAAGAAATATTAGAAGGTAAGGATGAGATAGGTGGACAGTGATCTGAGGGAACTTGGGCGCTGACAGATTTGGTTGGGCAGTTGACGCTTCCTGGCTGCCGGCACCATGGGAAGCAAGGTCTTCTTGAAGTACCTGGAAAAGAAGGGTTAGTGCTTGACTGCAGACTCCAGTGGAAATCTGCTTGAGACTGCTCACGTACGGCCTTCTCAATGCCACAACAACTGGCCTTCATTATGAGAGCGGTAGTGGAACATACGCCCTGTGGCTTAGGATCACCACTAACCACTGATGACTGATCTAAGTCACAAATAGTCCATCATCTCTTTATTCAAGAACATGTTAAGAGTAGCTACCTTTTACCTAGATACTATCCAACAGACCTTTCTGGTAGGACCTAGTTTATCTGAATGTATGAAGAGTACGAAGCAAACTATTTATTTTTCGTTTGCTTTCCATACTAGTGTCAAAGCATGACTTATAGAATGAATGATTATCGGGATTCAGTCATCAGTTAAACTGCACAGTTAGGTTCCTGAAACACTAATTTAGTGGTTTGGCCGCCAGTTATTTAGTTCTAAGCAAATCACAGAGCTATTTAGACTCTATTTTTCCCACATCATAAGATTACATTATCTTCATGGTATATTATTTCAACAGATATAAAACAGATAAACATTTCAGTTACGTATATGGGATGTTACAATATCCAACAAATCTAAAACTGTAAAGTGTTATCCCCAATCCTAGTTACCTTCAATCCTTGAATGTTTCTTTACGGTAAAGAATATAGTTTGCGCATCATTGATTCCACCCTATTAGTCTAGACAGTTAAGAAAAATGAATGAAGGATTGCAATATATCTACGTTTCTCAGTAACCAAAGAAAATAACTACCTGAATGCTTCTAGTGATAGTCTCTAGGTATTTAAAACATTCTTATTTGCCTATTTTGTGGACGCTAATTACTAATAAATGTAACCAAACTAGTGAATGAATCATCAGCGCTTATTCGGACAGTTCCCGAATCCTATACTTCTTAATCGCTTTATTATTGCAACCTCATGAGCCTTCATATAGAATACCTTCTATAAATGAACAAATTCTGGTTGGAATTATGTTGCCAGCATTTTCATCATGAACAGTGGATTGCCTTGGTTATAAAGTAAATTCTCGAAGGTAGATGAATACCCAAATATGCTGTTGCACTTAACAGTCATTTTTTGATATCCTTAGCTACCTATTTAAGTAATAAATTCCTGGAGTCAGCATGTCTTTAATTTGAATTGAAATGTACAACATGCAAAAGGTTTCTAGGGTGGATTTAATCCATTTTCTGCGTCGAGAAAAGTTTATTACTTTTTGAAATTTGTTGTCATTCAATACCATTACACAGCACCATGATGATGAAAATACTAAGACTACTTTTCTCAAAAACACACTTGGTTGGACATCGTTCCTATTAATTTGCATTCCATTTATCTGCCCCAGCATGTGATTTAGTCTGCACATATGTTATCATGTGACGGCTATGAATAATTACAGAAAATCAGTCAAACAGCAGAACAGCATTTCCAGATGTAATTTCCACTGAATGAAGTTGTGTAAACTGACATTCTTGTTAAAAAAACTTGAAATCCTAAATCAACTGTATGCTGGACAAAGTCAAGTTAAATCATGGGATAATGTTTAGTACTGTAATTCATGCAAACACACTTTCATGTGTCAGTTATATGAAACCTGAAAGTCACTTACACAAATGAACGTTAGTAGTCATATTGAAGAAATGTACCTTAAGTTACATATAAAAAACATCGCTTGTGCCGAAACCTTCAAAATACAGGTGAGGAACGTGGTAAATGAGGTCTTATACGTTTGTTTACTTTATTGACTCGAAAAAGAATGTTTTTCACTGCCAAAAAAATAGTTTGTGGATTCCAGGATCACTCAAAAACAAGAATCATTTAGATTCTGTATTCAGTCAACTCTCCGCTTTTGACACCATGTATCACTTCTTAGTACCAGTGCTTTCCAAAATAACTAAAATGGGTCTAAAGAAATATGAATACAGCAAATGTTTTCTTCTAGACTTACTCTGATATTGTTTATCCCAGGCACATGATTTCCAGCTGAAAAATGCTCTGTTTTCGAGAAACAGTACTGAAATATCTCGGAGTTTTGAAGAGCAAACTGTTTGAAAAAATGCAATACAAAATCTAATAAGTGATAACGTTTGAAACCCTAGAGAATATTGTGCATACTAATGGTTTATATTTGACTTTATGCAGGCTGAAATTTAAGTTTTGAAAATTATAGAAGAATCTACAGAAGCCACTAAGAAGCATTAGCAGTAGGAAGTCAGCCACATGAATCAGCGGTCATCAAAAGTGAAGTCGAAGTGATGTCAACTGCTTGCGCGTTCAATAGTCCTGCGGTGCACATGACAGTCAATTTCGACTGGTCATAATCGGATAGTCCAAAGCCTGTATTGTTGATTTAAAGACATTCAGATGACATTCTTTTGAAAGCAAACAATTTTCTTCAGGCACTCCTGCTTTTTGACTTCCAAAGAGGATTCTACTCACTTAGTGACTGAAATGTATATCAATCAATCAAGACAAAAGTTTGAATCTCACATCAACAAGACATCGAATGAACTCGTCAAATAGAGAAAAATTATAAAACAAGAGCAGTGGTAGATGAAATCCAGTGAGCTTGTTCTCTAAATTTTCTATGTTAGACTCAGAATACAAAAACTAAACATCCCACTACTACCAAATGGTTTACTTTCAGGAACCCAAGCATACAACCTTTCAAAAGAACACTTAAAAAAATTAAATTATCTTGCGGAATCATGCAGTCACTCTATCAGCTCTTCGATACAACTTTTGGAAACTACCAAGTATATTCATATTTATTACGACGAACTGATGGTGCATACTGAAGTTGCAGCTTTATGCGTCTCGAATGGACTGAAGCTCGCCAAGGATATAATGGCTGTTCTCCTCACCAATGATGCACACCTCTTCGAAGAAACACAACAGCAATGTCAAATTTTGATGCGATTAACTGATTCATGCCTTACTACATATTCTCACTTTACTAGCAGAGTTCACACATAGACTAACGTAACACCAGTGGGGTCACCTTATTCGGTACTAGTTGCAAGAGTAGTACTACAGATACTGGAAGTTGTGATATTGCTGCTGATCAAACTGAAACATCCCCTTATATTGACAGAACGATCCACCTGGATTTCCGTTAGCAATACAGACGGTGGCATGCTGGATAAAAATTTACTTCATACGTGCCTTTTTTGGCATAGAAAAAAACGATATTTATTTCGAAATATCCAAAACCTTATGCTATACATCTGCTATGCAATAACAGATGGTATTATACACAAACAAAACATGTGGATGGATTAGGCACTTAGTATAAGACGGTTAAACATATATTTGACTCCTAATTTCTGTGAGGAAACTTACCTGGATTAAATTGTTCCTCTCTTGTTATCACTACGCTTGGTGAACCCCAAAGATGAGAGAATTCATGACAGATTAGTGCATTAAAATTCACCTGTTGGATTGGTTCCAATAGTAAGACTATGTGTGTGCTGTCGTGTATAATCAGATATCCAAATTCTGTCGGAACTACTTTTGTTTGGTCGGATTGAAAGACATCAAAGTGTAGTTTACAATCATCAGTGACCACGCTTACACTTTGAAATAAATTCATCTCAAAATTTATTTGGATTATAGAACCATTTTGGAGTAAAAGGATCAGTATTCTTTCAAGAGGCTTGCAATATAAAGATGTTACCATCATATTGGTCAGGTATTTTTGTTGGTTTGGTTCAAGAAAAATACTCATATCATCATTTGTGTAGTCGACATCAGGCAAAAGAAATTTCTCTAGTTTGTAAACTCCGTTCTTTGTATTTGATTTTTTCATGGTGAAAAGAAATCTGTGGTTAAAACATAAATTTACACAAACGTGAAGGAATCTTCTCAATAACAATTGCAAAAATCTCGCACAATACATCCTTAGAATAAAATTAAAACAGTCACGCAAAGCAGTGAACCGATACTACTACTGTCAAATGGAGTGAAGGGAACTGTAAGGTCCATTGTCCATTGCCCCTTTCAAACAGATTAAAATTTCATAAATAGTACGAGCATTCGTTTTTCTTTTGGACGAATCTTCGTATTGACTTTAAAAATGTAGCGGAACGAGATTCATAGTTGCCGATTGACGGTAGTCAATTGAAAAAAGTCATTTCCAACCGATGAGTTCACTCAGGTGAACTTCGCTACAGTGAAAACAGAACTATTCCTCGTCACTCAACTGATTTCAAATAGACACAAAATCCTATACATCTTGCTATAGATGGATGCATTCATCCACTGTACCAACATTTTACGAAATATCAATTCACGTCCGGCCTTATGCTAGTCTATGTAGGGATAATTTACGAAAATTCATCTTTGCATCTTTTGAACCTTCATTACTACAATATGAAATATTTCTGGAGGGTGAATCAAATTGAAATCAAACTTTTTTTATGCTTCCTGTTAGAGGACAAGTCACTGAGTGGCTGAAATGTTTCAACAGATGACCATTAGGAGTTTATCATAATATATTATTATTTGTCCCTTGGGTTCCTAGTGGAACATAAGGCTTCAGTAGCACTTCTCCAGTGCACTCTGTTCTCCACAATCTTTCGAACCTAACTCCACGATTGCTCATAAGCTTCCATTTCCTCCTTACACCATCTCCTCCATGTCACCCTCTGATGGGATGCTAAACTCGCCGTTTCCCATTCGGCTTCCACTCGAGGGCCTGGCACATGACGTCCCAGAATGGTCTTCTCAGTGCATGCTCAATCCATCTCCACTTCCTTCCAGTGCATATTTGTTGAGTGATAGGTTCTCGGTTGGTTCGTTGCCATCCAGACAGAGTTCCTTGTTACTTATTCTATTATTCTGACCATATGATCTTCAGTAACGAGCCAGCGTAGCCAGTTGTTGATGAATATCTGTGGTTTGTAGGAAATGTTTTTCGAGACACACCAAGTCTCCCAACCATCACATAGAAGCACTGACTTGACTGACATTAGTGTTGAAAGCCCGGATCTTGTTCTTTACGCTGAGTGCAGATCTTCACACTGGTTTCAGGTTAACGAAGGCCTGTCTTGCTGTCTTTCAAATCCTGGCTTTGACGTCCTCCTCTGTACCGTCTGTAGTTGAACGATGCTACCCCGCCTACGTAGGTGAAAGAGACATCTTCCTCTAGGTTGCTCCCGTTGAGGGTGATTGGTGCTTGCTGTTCATGCTGTTTGTTGTTTGTTGGGTATCTTCATCACCTCCGTCTTCCCCACATCCACTTTAAGTCCCGTCTTCCTTCGCTGCCTCTCCTGTTAACTTGTCAGTTTTCGCCGGTAGGTCTTCGAGTTTGTGCCACAAGACATCAGACATAAATCATCATCATCATCATCAGCAGCAGCAGCACCATCAGTGGAGAAATCCAAATCTTCTTCTCGGGTCTTCTCATCGGTCTAGTCAGCGTATGCTCACCTTCTCACTCCTCACGGTTTGCTGCATGATCCAGTTCACCACAATCAGGTAGATGATTGGTGATAGTAGGCGACAGCCTTGTCTTACTTCCTCGTGTCTTCACTTGAAAAGCGTCACTGAGTTTCCCATCGTGAAATACGTGGTGTTTAGCATCATATAGCACATTACTGCTGAGTGAGATTGGAAAAGATTTGTGGCACCAAAATGGTAGTGTTGAAGCAGTTCAGTTGTCTGCCAAATGACTTCTCTGTCGACGCTGTCAAAGGCCCTCTCAAAGTCGATGAAGTTGAGGTGGAGAGTTGAGTTGACTGCCATTCTATACTCTGCACTATGATGATGCGTGGAGTTGCAATTTAATCTGCACATGATTTGTTCTTCCTGAAGCCAGCCAGACTGCTCCGGTCGTAATTTTGAATCCAGTGCATGCTTTAGTCTCTCCAGGATGATGCGGCTTAATATTTTACTTGTTTTGGGTGGACAGGAGCATGATTCCTCACCAGTTCTTGGAAAGACTTAGGTCGTCCTTCTTTGGGAGTTTGACAAGGTAGCCCTTCTTCCAATCAATCAGCAGGTACCTTTACTTCCTTTCTTGCAAACGTTCTGCAATAGTGGTGTGGTGTGAGCATGTCTGCTGTTGTCTCTGCGCCTGCTCTCAGTGCTTCTGGCAGCATTCCATCTGGTCCTGCTGCTTTCCCGCATTTCAGTAGCCCTATCGCATTCAGGACTTCCACTTTTGTTGGAGGATTTATGTTCGCTTGTAGTTCTGTGGCTGTAGGTAGTATTTCTGGACGAAGTGCAGGTGGTGGTGATGGTGGTGGTGGTGGTCGATTCAAGAGCTTCTTGAAGTGGTCAGCCCACCGTTACCTTTATTCTTCTTCTTTCGGAATTAAATTTCCGTTATCATCTTTTATTGGTTTCGTCTGCCTTGATCTCCTCCCGATAGCAACTTGGTTGTTTGATACAATGCTGTCAGGTCTCTCTTACCTGCAACCTGTTCTGCCTCACTTGACAGTGTGTTGTAGAAGTGTCTTTCGTCTTTGCGTGCACTCTTCTTCACTTCTTTGTCCAGTGTAGTGTTTTATACATTGTACTCAGTTAATCTTCTCATCGTTCATCCTTGCACTCATTCATCTTCTGCTTCACCATCCTCCTCTCCGCTATCAGCTTCCATGTATCCGTCAAGATCCATTCCTTGTCCTGTCTTCTTTCTTCTTCCTCCTCATACAGTAGTGCAGCTTTCTTTCCACATAGCTTTCAAAGACTTCCAGTGTTCTTCCACACAGGTTTCTTCAGGGATGTTGCTCGATATCTCCCATTTCGTCTTGATGGCTGACTGGCGTGAAGATTTCCTTTGTAGTTTCGTCCTTCACTTTCTGTTCTGGGTGTTGAACTTGGACTGTGACCGTCCATCACCATCTTAAAGGCTATCAACTTGATTTTGAAGGTTCCTTGCACAAGGTAATGGTTGGAACCTACATGTGCTCCTCTTCTTGATCTGATCTTGTGTCAAGTAGACTGCGTCTGCACTCTCTCGAGATTGAGATGAAGTCGATCTTAGTTTTAGTGTGTCCTGGTGTCTGGTTTAATCCATGTTGCTTTGTGCATATCTTTGTGCTTGAACACACTGCCTCCAATCACCGAGTCGTTGGACGCGCAGAATTCTGCAAACAATTCTCCATTCTCATTCATTTTACCCAGCGCTTCTCGGCCCATGGTTTGTTCCCTTCCTGTGTTTTCCGCTCCCACTTTGGCATTCATATTGCGCATCAGAATTTTAATGTCGTCAACTGAGGTCTTGTTCAGTGTTGATTGCAGTTGTCTGTAGAATTCCTCCTTCTTCTCTTGATCCGCGTTATTTGTAGGTGTGTAGCGTAGCATTGTATAATTGTGACCTTCCTTCCTTTTGAGTTGAACCTTGCTATCATGATCCAGCTGGAGGAGGAGATTTGTTCCCACTGCATGGAAGAGAGCCTTCGATGCTGTTGGGGACATCATGATAGCCACTCGAAAATCGAGTGTGCTCATGGTTGCCATCTGGGTGACCGGAAGAGATTATTAACTCTGTAGGTGACAGTTTGGAGAGTCTACTTCAATTCCATCTGCTTTAGTAGATTCCAAGAACTTCTGTGCCATACCTTCTCATCGCTTTTGCAATCTGGGCAGCCTTGGTAGGTTCATATATGGTGCGGACATTTCACTTCCCTATCCTTACTTTTGCTTCCATCAATAGAACACATCGCTGAATTGGCTTCCTGAAGTCTTTCACCAAACGGCATCATTTCGTCTCTCCGATTCCAGCGAGTAATAAGTTTGTTTTTATTTTTTGTATTTTGTCTGTGCTTTGAAGTTTCTGTAGCAGTTTGACTAGTTTTACGGCGTAGGGTATCTAGCCTTATGCCCAACGTTCTCGCTTTATCCAGGCTTAGGACCGGCTAGTAACTAGTGAACTAGTTAGTCAGACGAGGTTTTTTATTCAAAGTTAGGTAAAAGTAACCCAATTTAATCAACCAGTAAGAAGGAGAAGTATTCTGAGTGATTTTACAGAGGACACATACTATCTAAAGATAGATTTGATGATACAGATTTCGTAACTGGCAGAGAAGATACGCATTTTTTGGTTAGGAAAACAGAAAGTAAGCACAAATTCTTCTCAGTGAATTATTCAGTCAATGTAAAATGAAGCCAAATTTGTGTGCTGATACACAGTGAAATCTTATCGAGTTTCGTAAAACAGAACTTTATTTCTGCTAGAACTTGCGTAATAACAAATTCCAATTATATCATTCAGTGGTTTCTAGGAAAGAACAAATAAGTTCATATCACTATTGGTGGAAGCTGCCCATTCAAAATAAAGATGTAGGATCTTACGTTGGTATTCTTCATGGACTGCCATCGATTGGGAGAACGTTGGAAAACTGTGAGGATTGGACAGCTGTTTCGGTCAAGTATGGGACTCCTCAACAGTGAGCACCCATGACCCCACATCACTAGGGATCGAGCCCAAGACCTTAAATTTCCGTGGCCAGCACGTTAACATTGAGCCACACTACGGCGAAATCTAGTGACCCCCGTTTCTTAGTTCTTTCAGTTCACGACATAGAACAACCTCCATTCAATATCGTCTTTGAGTAACTGTCCTCATGTTTGACTTGGTTGGCTCCACTGGTTACGACATCTCATTGGGACTTTGGGAATCACCTTTTCAGGCTAGTCACCTGGTGAGGTCAAGAGGTAGTGAAAGCATGTATGTCGAAATTATCATTTGAGTCGTACAACAATGTATTCTTTATATGATTGAGTGTTGAACTCTGTTTCAACGTGAATGTCCACAGGTTTACTTGATTAACTCCATACGCATAAAGAAATACTTCGAATTGTTCTAAAATTATGATGGCTTTTTTGACAGTCACATATTTACGTCCAGTTGTTTGACGCAGTGACATTGGTATAAGTATTTATCTTGATATCTTGGTTGCAGTGATCGTGTGGAAATGTCATATCATTAATTATTGTAATCGCACTGAAGTCAGCAGTATTTGTTTATGCACGTTGTTTTACAGCTTCCAAAATCGGTATTTATCTTATCCTGAAAGAATAAGTGCTATTGGTTGATAAAGCTATTTATCTAAGCGTTTATGGGATTTACATTCAGCAAAACTCTACACCTACTGCTTAGGAGTTATGGTAATACTCCAAATTAGTAGTCTTACACGCACAAATGAATAAAGTTCGCATACGTTAACTGATGAAATTGTTTTAGTTAGACAATTACATCACTCAGTTCTCCTACTTATATGTTATTAAAAATTATTAACCTTATTGACAGAGTAAAACACTAACAAACGTTTTTTCTGATCATCATGTTTGGTTTAATTTCCACAGATCTACTACGACACACTGCGGTGATTTTTTATTGTTGACTGAGTGGTTCAAAAAAGTACGTGTTTAAAAACATTGGAAAACTGTTTAGCAATTTATAGCTTTACATCACACAGCTGTGAAATCAAAAAGATTTTTGACGCAAACCACTCCGAAGTGTCATACATAACTTCAACAGACGACGTGAACATTTCAATAACACCTACTTCGAAATTCAAGTTCCGCTATATATATAAAGTTACTGAGCCTAATCAGCTCGCCACTACTTACGTAAGTTAGCAGACGTTTGTAGAATAGAAACCCCTTATTCTGAAATATGCAGCGCATAATTACGCAGATGAAGTAGTACACAGCCTCAACTAACTAGTGTTTATTGAAAACATACACTACCGTTCAAAACACAGTTGATGAAAGGTTAACTCACAAGGCTGATGTCAGCAAAACAGGCAACGGCACAAGTTTTCAAATGCATTTCAAAAATAATTCACTACAGTTTTCTTTTGTTCGCATATGTTGTCTGAACTAAAATGTGGTTCTTATTTTATTTTATTTTAAAGATTTAGGTAGACGTGGTCAGTGCACATTAACATTTTAAGGTTAAAGAATGGCTCATAGTGTATCTAAACCAAGTTACAGTGTCTAAAAACTCAAAGAAGGACAAAAACCCAAGAATTAGATGAGTTCATATAGCTTATTTTTGCTACAATAATGTGTAAGTGTGGCTAGTTTGTTAATTCATTAACATTTATTCTTTTCGTTAGGTAAAACACTTCATAAACATATATACAGGTATAATTTAACAGATGTTTAGTCAATTATTACCGATTAGACGTAGCAGGTTATTTTTCTGATTGAAGATATTCCCACTAGGGCCACATTAAATGTATAAGAAATGTGAGTTGGGCTCAAAGTCAGATAACCAACTTACAAAATGGCAATCTTATGTTTCATCAGCTGTGTGGGAACCAAATCTATGAACTATTTGATTAATTCACTTGCTTTTAAGAACTATACCCAGTTGCTTTGGAAAACTTGCCTGCAGTCAATAAGGAAATGTCTGATATGAATACAGATAATATGCGGAATTCCCATTCTTTTCAGAAAAGCTGCGATCGATTTTACATAGTGCTGACAACCAAAAAAATATGAGGTTTCCGAAACTAACTGGTTACAGAAACACCCATAATGTGATCTGTAATAATACATATTGACTCAGAGTTCTGAGGTTGGTCTCTGCTATGCTGGTGAGTACTTTCTAGCATTACCTGCAAAAGCATGTTTCGTCAAAACCTTCAGCAAGCTGAAACGGAAGGTAGGAAGGTAAGAGAGATTTTTTCCATTGGCGTGGGCTCTTTGTGTGTTGTAAAACGAACGATTAATGTGTAAGCAACGAAGCGATGGTATTAGCATGTGAATGTTCCTCTACGATTTGAATAAGGTTTATTACAGTATTCAGCCACCAGATAATAAAATTTTAGTCCTTGATTACCACTGGATTTTGTTAAATGTTTAGGAAGTATATTTCAAAAAATAGCTTGTAACCTGATAATAAAGCAGTAGTATGATTTCATGGTTGTTGTTCTTTCAGATTACCAAGCACACCAGTGGTGGAAAAGCATCGATAACTCACTTTACAAGTAATAACAAGAACGTCTAAACACTGTGGTCGAGATGTTAATTTCTTCTGCCAGGGTACATCAGGTCATCCCTGCAATCAAAAAGTCTTAAGAACCTTTGAAATGTTTAGTATCTGTACATTCGGGCAGGAAAAATGCGTGCAAATTATGAAAAGATAGTGAAAGATCATTCGTTTCAACATGTTTGTAGTTGTTGCGGATAGCATATGAAAGATAAATGAGAGGACTGGTGTGAACTGTTTCCCAAATGACTTATGTGACTGCTAGTTATCACACTTCTCTCTTAATCTAATCCTTATAATAGGGAACCCTTCCGAAGAAGTAGGTTTTCTAGTAGTTTAAATAGTTTTTGGATAATACACAGTAAAATTTTTAATTACAGTCACGATGAGTTAACAGAAATAAGGTATATATATCATTCACTGTTGGAATAGTATATATGTATACTTGCCGAAATCATTTGAAGTAGGTGCATGCATTTAACCCATTGAAACTGACCTTGCTTTCGCGTACACTTAATTTACCCTAAAACACCTATTCATCGAAATCTGAACAGAGTTCATATGATGTCGGTAGGAGGAATGAAAGAAAATTTTACTCAGAAAACCTTATGCAAAATCAAATAGACTTTTATCTGGTCAAAACCAAATAAATGTGTAACTGAAAACAGTTAACGGTCTATACTTAAGAAAAATAAAGGTCAGAATAACAAAATACTGAATTAGGTTGGAATTCATCATGGACTGACATCAACTGGAGGAACATTGGAAACCTGTGAGGACTGGAAAGCTGTTTTTGTCTAGTATGGAACTCCTCAATAGTGCGTACCATGACCCCGCCCTCCAAGGATTGAACCTCCACAACTTTCCAGATAAAAAGGTACTTTATTCCTTAATTACTCCACGAGTTTCAATAATGAAACACGCTGCTATCCCAAATTGGAATCAGGTGACTTGTGTCTTATTTTATTGTCCATAAAAGATAAGTAATTTTTCGAGGAGATAAGATTGAGCTAGCTATCGTCTTACTGAGGTAAACTGCTTGCTCTATACTTTTGTAAATTTATTTACAATATATTAGGTATTGGTTTAACCAAAATGCGTTAGTTTTATGTTGAAATTAGGATATTAATTTCAACTGACTGGATAACATCAGATACTATAAACATTTATCTGGTCTCATATATATATTCGCTTTCATAAAGTTTTATTAAACAACATGAACAAAAGTCAGCCTTATTTGCATCACAACAAACTTTAATTAGAAAATGCCACTTAGTATTTCTACACAGACAAATTTGATATAATTTGGTTTGAGGAAGTCAGCAAGGAGTTCCGCTTGACCCAAGTTTCGTACTTGTCAGTACTTACAAGCAGTAGCTATCTGCAACCCCTAGAAAACTGGTATTACCTTGGACATTGAAACCTTTATTACCTGAGCTTTGAAATTTTGTCGTGAACGTCTTATCACTTAGCATAGTAGCATATTTAGCACTAACTTCATAGAGGGGCGGGACATCATCGAATACTACACGGATGTTGTCCAAGTTTACGTTGAGGAAGAAAAATTTTATCTCACCCTGACATCTTTGTCATTTAAACTCCTTCAGTCGCATCATTATATATTGTTCGCTAGAATGAAATTGTGCTGTTTGTTGCTGTCACCCTGTGTATCGTTATTGATTTGTTCGGTCAGTTTGCCCTTGTTTGATGCATGACTGTTTTTCTTCCTAACTAGATTATAGATTGGGTCTATATCCAAATGTCTGTTGATTGACATTTCGTTTGAGTCCCATGCTTCCTAGAAATTTCTTTGGAGCTTTGGAACCTATTCTTTGGAGGATTACCACATTCTCCCAATCAAATTTGTGATCGTGACTGCCTGCATACATTGAACCAAGGAAGCCACCTCATGTCGCCTTAATGCTACGTTATGTTCATGAATTCTTCGAGCGATCTGACTGCTAGATTAGCCAAAATAGTGCTGTGGAGGATTTTTGCAACTGACTATGCAGACTGTATTTGCCCTGTCTTATTTGTCAATGGATCCATTGATTCGAACAAGCTGTTTTGTAGTGATTTCGTTAGTCTGTGTGCTACTCTGATTCCAAAAGTAAGAAGCAATCGCCTAACTGCTTCACAGATATCATTAGTGCAGGATAGTGAACCATACCCACTGATCTGAAGCAGTTGTCCCGTCTTCTGTCTTACAGATAATTACTTTCTGATAAAGTTAGTTGGATAATTATTGACTATGAACACTTTGTACTGGTATTTTTGCATCATTGAAGCAATAAGAAAAGCCGGAAAAAAATACAGACTTGATTTCTGTGCTTCGTTGTGGTGTATATTGAAAATCCTAAGATTTAAATATTGAGCAACAACACTAACCACCTTCGTCAATTGTACTTTTAGGAAAAACGCAAGGAATATAACACTACAATATAATGTTTATTGCTAAAGATGACGTTGATAACAGTACGTTACTTAGCCTTTTTGTTTCATCAGGAATGCTTTATTACTTGGAGTAACGAATTCATCCTTATTGACAAATCCTATACAGCAGCCGGAAAATTAAACCGACACCCAGAATAATTGTCTGAAAATACTGTTTAGCTAGTATGATTCTTAGGTATGTGGCTTAGCGAAACTCACAGTGAGGTAATTAAGCAAAACCACATTGAATACGGAACAAAGAGATTGGAAACTTCAAGTATCTCCTAGGTACTTAGATTTTACAACAATAATTCTAATTTCTGTTATTATTGCAACACATTTTTATCTTTTTCATGAGAATTGTGAACAGTATTCATGAAGAAGCTGAGTATTTATGGACAATTGTTCAAAAGTGTAAAAAATAAAACTAATAGTTCGTTACAATAATTTTCCTCTTAGCCTATGGACATCTTTATTGATTTCAGGGTTATT